TTCCCGCCTCGAGTGTCATGGTGTACCAAGCCACAAGAGGCCAGTAACCAGTAACGAATCCGGCATTATGATTGTTCCATCACTTTCTTGTTGCTTGTTCTATTTCCCTTGGTTACCTGACGTAAGCGCTTAAGTTTGTGGCCGTTCAGGAGTTTCCTTTTACTTTCGAAAGTTGGGCGAATAAAAAACTGTTTCTTTTGTTATAAATTTGCACAGAAACAGCGAGGAATGTCAAAAACATCTCAAATATGTAAATCTAAGCAGGCAGTATGTATGTATGAGCATGGATTTATTGTAATATTACAGACAAATTTTCGCAGAACGGAACTTGGAATGTTTTCATATTACGTCACTCAGTGAAAAACCGGCCCAAATAGAACAATATGGCGATTACTAGTTACCTGCGTCCTACTTGCCATTCGCAAAGGACGCCAGGAACCAGCAAAGACAGATCGCTGCAACAATTTGTCACTAGAGGGCGACAGATCACTTCAACAATGAGATCTCATTGAGAGAGAGCAATTCTACTTGATTTTACATTCAAATAGTGTTCCATTATTAAACTGAATACAAGAGAATTAAACAATATTTGGGTTGTAAAAAGTCTTGCGACTGAGACTCAAGATGCTTTTTTTTTTATTTTCAAGATTATACAAAATAATTTTGTGTAAAGAGTCACAATTTACTAGTCTGTGCCACACAGAGACAAATTGGATACTGCACACACAAAGACTCAACTTTCATTTTGAATAATATCATAAATATTTATGATTTATAATATCACAGATATGAGCGATCGTAAAAAGATCTTGAAGTAACAGCAAAACATCAGAGGATTCATAAAAATGTAATGGTTACCTGTCTTCTAGAACTGTGTCCATTGGCTCCACGCCTTCTGTGTCTACTAGTAATAACTGATCAGCAAATCTTACCGCTCGTGATAACCTTTCTATACCAGCTTCATCACTAAACTTGACTAGTGCTAATCTCTCCAATTTACGCACTGTTTCAGAATCTATCTTTCGTTCATCTGGTAACTTGTCTGGATCAATCTCATCCCATGTGGGTTCTTTGGGAATCTGAAATATACAAGTACCATATTTTTCGAAACGGGATTCTCCAAGTCAGACCTGGTACACATGCTGAAGTATAGCTTTTCAAAATTTGTAAAATTAAACTCCTATTCAAGTGCAGATATCTTTTTTTTCACATTTTATATGCCTCAACACAGTACACGTCAAATACCTAAATAACACCGTTTTTGCATGTTTTTTTTACTTCAGCTTGCGTACCATATTTTATTCAGAGAACCCCCCCCCCCACATATTTTCTCTTTCCTATTTTATTGATGATTCCTTACTTTCTATTGTGAGAAACAAATGAATGTTTCACTCTCAAAGAGCAGGTAAGAATTTCCCAAAAAATGTATTTTATAATGTCACAGAAATGCATATGAAACACTACTCACTGCAATGACTTGTGTCTTTCTAAAGCAGAAAACTAATCCATCTATTGCTCACAACATGTTGAATAGTTCTACATATTTTTTTGTAATGTATTATTCCAAGTTGTGAAATAAATCATAATAATAATAATAATAATAAAAGAAAGATATACATTGGAAGTACAACAGTGTACATAGCAATATATCAAACAATGTACTATATATATAGTGACGATGTTGCCGCTACAAGTCATGGCGTTAACTTGGTTTCAACCATTGACCTTATGTTTTGACGAATGGTTTTACCGATATCGATTTTATATATTTGACGCCACCCTGGCAGTAAAAATATGGGTACGGCAATCCACTTTTCTGTGTGTTACTGCCGTGCTAAGGTTCCACACTTACTAGTGTTGATTGCCTCTTACGTCGCCAACTCTTTGAGTTGAGCTTCACGCCTATTGTTTTTTTAATTGGTGACACAACCAAAGCTTTGTTATCCGCTCAAACATTCTTTTGTCTCTCAGAGCGTTTGTTGCGTCCTGTACAAAAACAATAGTGCCGGACGGCAGCCATGTGTGCCGGTCGCTAATTCTGAGTGCCGGACGGCCCCGTCCACCGCCGTCCAGCGTGGGGAGAACCCTGAATATAGTGATACCTTGAGATCAAAATTTCTTCTGACAGGTCAGTGGCATTTTTTCGAGGGGCGACACCCCCCAGAAAAATCAAGCTAAAACCCTTTGTGTCAGCAAAATTTGCCCCTCAAAATGCAAGAAATAGCGTTTCAAAGAGTCCCATCTGATTAAAATCTGATGTAGGTACGAGGCTCTATTTCTTTTTTTTTTATAACCCTTTATACTATATTTATTCGTTACCTGATTAACGGCAAGAAAAACCAAAAAATCAACATATTCAAACTAAAATACAAATAAATATAATATAAAAGGTTATAAAAAAAAAAATAATAATAAAAACCACGGTTTAAATATTTCCACCGAGGCGTAAATTAAAGTGAAATTGTCGGAAATTCTAAATGAAGGCGAAAAATACATGTAAAAATGTGAGAAATTGAAAAAACAGTGAATGGCTCTAACAAGTCACCGTATGGGGGGGGGGGGCGTTTTCTGATAAATAAGTGTTTGACGACAGAGGGCGCCAATTGCGTTTCAAATTGCTGTAACCAGACAACCGAAATACATGTTTGCACGTAAACACGTTGAGCCCCATTCACCTGTGCATACACATGATGAAACTCTTGCTTACAGTTTCGTCATTTTCTTGTTAGTATAATTGTTGAAAGGTTGATAAACACTATACCTTAGATGACATTCCCCTGACCGCCAACCATGGCAATGACCTGGTTACAAAATATACAACTTTAGTCAGCATATTCATACAAATTAAACGCACGTTTTATTTTGTGAAAGCAGCCATTTTAGCTTTGGGTCTACTCACAAAGTAGTGCCTATATGTATTACTCCGAGCACTTATTATGTTAACTAACATAAAAGAGTTGTTGTTCTACATAACATTAAATTATAACTTGATTTACCGAACTACTGTGCACAAGTGAGAGCCAAAATTATTTACAGATTTTAGTAATCACTATTTTGCAGTGGTGCATTATGGGACGATGTATCTATTTCCGTAAAGGTGTGCCAAGGCACAGCTGTGTCATCGTACGCTCAAAATGAATAGCGTTGGTGAAGATTGCAACGACCTAAAGAGGGAATATGACGCGTGTTTTAACAAATGGTTTACAGAAAGGTATCTCAAGGGAGACTATTACAGAGATCCGTGCAAAAAGATTTTCAAAAAATATCAAACATGTGTCAAGGTGGGTACTGTTTTGTTTACGTTCACGAAGCTGTCCGTCAACTTCCCTCAACGATGTTTCAAAGTGTCTGGTATTCCTATATAAAGACGATCGTATGGCAAAATATATTATTCTGATAACATCGTCACTAGTTTATGTGATATTTGAGTCGGTAACGTCGCCATATCAGTTTCCAATCTACTCCGCCTGGTGAATCATGGGAAGAAAGTCTAGCTCGCCTCATATTGGTGAATTTACGTCTATTGCACCGATCATTAGTAGTTAAGGGACCAATCAGAGGCCATCTCAATGTGTGTTTGCCTTGTCAACCATGGTGATCGCACTGATATGGCAGCGTTAATGATGTGAATTGACTCAAATTACTAGTACTTTATTCACACATTATGAGTGGACAGATTTGTGTTGATATCACAAAATTCACCGGATAATATGACAGTAGTGTTTTGGTGTCATTGGAACTTTGTGGGTGCCCCAACTGACGTCAACTGACTGAATCCCCAAGTGCGAGAAAGGAGAACATTCCTCAGCCCCAATGACATCACAGCAAAATACTGTCTGAATTTTTAAAAGTAACTTACACAACAATGAACGTTATTTCATTAAAAGTCTTCCATTAAGTTTTCAATTGACAGTTTCAATCATCAGAAATGTGGGGTTTTTTTTCTCAGACTGCCATGAAAAATAAACACCTAGATCTAGAAGAGATGGATAAAGATATACTTGGAACTGAATTTGAAAAAAAGCCTTTACCAAAAAAGAAAAAGGAGACCGATAAGACTGAATCATAACACGTATACAAGACTGATATTGAGAAGATTGGTATTCTCTGTGTTATCTGCAAATGGGAGAAGACTGCATTCCAGGCCAATGTCTAGAAACACAATATACCTATTGTACTCAAGTTGTACTGTAATCACTGCAACTATTGGTGTATTGGTGATGAATCAGACTTAAAACAAATGACACAAGTATTTTACGAGAGTTACTTAAAACAAAATGAATTCACTTCAGCACATGAATGCCTGTTAAAGTGCATGCTTTAGAAAACAAAGTATTCAAGTGCTACAGTGAACGTTCAGTTTACTAGATTTAAAATGACATGATTCAGCAGGTGTTTTCTTCTATACTGTATTTGTTCTATTAGATGTGCATCTCAAATAGAAACACATATAAACCCCAAATTACTTTTGTTCTACCGGGGGTATATGGAATCATTAAAATATGACACTCATAAAACACCTGTAATTTATTTTACCCATAAAACACCTGTAATTTACCTAAGGGCTCATACCACTAATTGAATTTCCATAGACGACAATGTTAACATATGATGAGATTGCTATATGAAAATGATGAACAAAGTTGAAAACATGGCTCAAAAATGGGAAATCAACATGCCAGTAATCAACCACATGAAAAAAACTAACATGTTGGCCAGCTCAAACTCTTACAAATCTCAGGTAAACAAGACACACCTACTGTATTTGGATTGCACCTAGAGAAATCACTGGAAAAACACCAAGATTAGAACATCCAAGTACACACAGAATAAACCCACAGGTACACAGCCGCTAAGTAGTAAAGAAAAGACCACATGTTGGTCTCACCTTTGACCCAAGTGATTACGCCCTCAAACAGGAAGCACCGGAGAAAAAAAATATTTAAAAAATGTCATTGGTTCTTGCAAGGCATTTAAATTGAGGGCTACGAGCAGCCATTAGTTGATTAGTGGCATGAGACCTAAATGCATGTGCTACTAAGAGAGCAAATATGACAGTATGATGTTTTTTCAAGTAAAATCCCCTTCTTTGATCAAATTTTTCTAAGACTTGTATAGATTAAAGATGAAATGCTTCACTATGCTAAGAAGCCACACAATCTGAGTCTAGAGCTCACACAGTGACACACAAGCTGCCTATTCAGCTATCTTGAGCAAAACAAAATGCCAGACTTCCAATAAAGTATAAGAGAATATCCAACTTTAACCTTCATTTTGCCAGCCCATGTACTTCTACATAAAAGTTGAGGTCAGATTTAGTCATTTAGGAATACTTTGCTGACATTGTTTTTCCCATTCATTTTGGCTATAATTCAAGCTTCTCGTACGTAATCTTAAGAATTTGGGAAAATTTATTGTACAGTTAATATATTAACCAGGAAATAGCTGAGACTTTTGCTTGTTCTACTTTTTAGCTAGAACGCTTGTCAATAATGTCCTACTTCCTGTGGGTTTACCTCTTTTCCATATTACTGCAAGCCGTACTTATTCATAACAATACTGAATTCTCAAATATTTTCACATATTTATCGCATTACCACAATAAAACTAAAGAAAAGATCTGAAAATCAGTTGGCATCCACGTCAACTTTTTACTTTCTCGACTTCTCCTTGAAAACTACAAGTCTGATCGCTTTGATTCTTGGTGTACATGTACCTTGGGTAGACCTCTCTTATTCCATATCTTTAATTCTCTAATTTAGATGAATATTTCTGTTAAAAAGTAATATTTTCGACTTAAAAACCACTGATTGCTTTGATATTAAACATACAAGTACCTCAGGTGGACCTCTCTCAGATTTGTTCATTTCGTGTTATGTTCATGAAGTGTTCATTGCTAACAGGGGAGCTATCTCAGCTTGTTGTCATTTCGATTATGCTTGGGAATTCTGATGCAGACTTGACCAAGAAAGTGACAGCACATTTAAATACCACACAAACGCTGAATATCAATTGATCAAAAATTTTTAATTTATGTAATGATGGTGATATTTGTTGTCAATTTTACAATCAAGAAATATTAAATGCCAGCAAGTCTTCACAACTGTTGATTTCTTCTCCGGAATAAACCACCAAATACATACATTAAAGCTATCGCATAAATAGAGGCTTGTAACAAGATTCTAAGAAAGCCGAGATATTGGCATTGTTACCCAGACACTGCTTCATTGTTTTTATTGAGTCGCTAGATTAGAGGAGTGTATCACAAATGAGTGGACAAAAAGCTACCACTGATATTGATACCTTATCAAATTTATTGCGCTGTTGCATGACGAGTACTGAATACGAATGAATGAGTACCTGACGTGAGATTCACGGTATTAGGCAACTGTCTTTTTATGAAGAAATGTACAGGTAGTCAAGCTGCTTGGATACAAGCAATATCCACATTTTGTACAATACAGAAAATGTATCTCTGTCCAATGTAATAACGTTAAAAAGGTGATTACACCACCTTGCCCCTCATAGAAGTCTACAGAATAACAACATATTTCAATATACAAGATTTTCTTGGAGGTAATGAGAGCCTCACGGTAGATAATACAATGCTACCAGTGATGAGGTGAGTGTATTCACCTTTAATTATGAATACATGGTGCTTTGTTATTTGTTTTTACACACACAAAACATACGTGGGTTCTTATTTGTTGCAATATATCACAAAAGTGTGGGCTGGTAAGCAACCTGAGAAGCCTAAGTGCCAGGTTTAAACTTTTCACCACCAGACTTTCTCACCCAAATTTGTCTGTACTTTTTCTTATATTCTTCAATATTTGTGGTAATCAACCCTCATTTGAGTAAATTTTCACTATAAAAATTTGGCTACTGTTGTCCCAACCTTCTATAGGATAGTGCAGACTATAAACAGGACTATTTTGTAAATTCGTGATGAAAAGAGGAATGGTGGTGAAAAGGTTCAGCCATGTTCAGACTAATTCAAGAAGTCAGACAGATCTGTTTGCAATATGAAACAGATAATGTTCTTGTTATATCCACTAATTTGTCCTGACTGCACGCCCAGGCGAAGAATTACACTCAAACAAACTTATAAATACAAGATGTCAATGATCTCTGGACTGTACAATAAATGTTTCAAGAATAACGTGTATAATCCGAGCACAACACAGTCACACAGGGTTCTAATAGAGTACAACAACTTAGCGATTGAAAACTGACCTCTGTGTTACAATTTGGCAACCTGTTTTGGATATAAAACACACCTAAATAACAGCAGCTTAAATATAATATTAGGTACAAATACTTTGTTACATAACTGTTTTATTTATGGTTTAATACATTTAGTTTGTAAGTTGTATCTGTTGTGGTATGTGATTTTTTAAAAACCTAACCTTCATACACAACAATTCATACAGTATTAGGCTTTTATGGTAAATGATGCTAAATTTCAGAAAGTGTAAATGGTAAGTATAATTCCTTTCCAGTTCAGGTTAACAGATGAACTGGAAGTGAATCCTTTTTTTTAAGAATAATTAACATCTAATTCAGGTTTGTTTCTGGATTCAGCTATTTTATATTTATATTTACAAGGATCAAAAAACAAATGAGCAGCCCTTATACTGTACATAACAAAAGTGGAATACAAAAAAATATTAGAATTTACATATTTTCTTTTGTTATAAAACAACTTTTTGTTTACAAATTTCAACCAATTCCAACAACCACATTTTTAGATCGGAAATTGAAACTTGGAATAAAATGCTTTAAAATCACATCACAATATCTAAAACCACAGTACACTGTTACACTAAAATGATAGACCAACTGACCAAAATTAGGATACAAAAAAATGTGGTAGGGGGGGGGGGGTCAACAAAAATAACTTAGTTATGTAATCTATACACATATTTTTTAAAATGTGATAAAATGTAACAATATCTACATCTCCAGTGAAAATTCCCATGAATATGTATATCTCTATATTTAGAATTCTCAGGTACATATTTTCTTCTAAAAAGTTAGAAAAATTAAATTTCTATTATTTGCAATATTTCTAAAAATACATATACTATTTTTTCTCATTATTTACAGATTTTATCACAGTACAGTGTATAAACAAGTTTTTTTTTTATTATTATTAATAATTTATAAAAGAAAAATCAACTATGCATACGTTGTAATTAATTATACATTAAATATGAAAAACAGTTTGATATGCAAGAAAAATTGTGCTTTAAAAAATAAGATAAAAACGTTTAAGAACTTTTTAAAAGTACACTGCACAGATGCAACACTAATATTTGTTGTTCTTTCACAGCAAGTCTATTATAAGAAAAATATAGTTACTTTTGACAGAATTTATTCTCACTGAATTCTGACGTAAGTCAGAAACAGGAACTCCTAGACTAGACAATTAATTTCAATGTCAGCTCTATCTTCACAATATAATGAATAATATATTTCCTCAACTACAAGTGCATTTGAGTTAGCATTATTAATTCCGCTCGTACCTAACATGGGGGATTCCTAACTACTTTGAGCTAAGTATATAAACAGTTGCATTTGAAAGTCACGGTGACTTGTTATCAATTCTCTTGGCGAGGCTTTAGCAAAATAGACCCAATGCAGATTTTAAAATTTACATTTGGAATCTACATCTCTTGACAGAAAGTGTTCATTTCATAGATACTATGGGGTGAGCGAATGGCTACCCTTTCTACTACTCCTACTCTTTTGCATAACGTGGACGGGAAAAAATCCAACAATATGGTGGTTGAATCAAGAAGTATAGAGCACATAACAGACTTATTAATATTGTTCAGGACGGATTATTTACAAACAATATAAACACTACACTGAGTAAATTTCAGGAAAATGATATGTACATAGCAATTTAAGTTTATCAAGAGTATTTGAAAAAGAGAATTACTGCAGTGAGTTGATTTATTGGATGGATTTTCGATTGATGGACGGATGGGTGGGTTCAACGCACTATGAACCTTGATCTTTAATTTTAGCGTACATTACACGTAAAGTACAAGAGGATTAGTTGTAGGAATAATCAGTGAATTACGCAATGCCGGGCACAATGGTGGCTGTCAGCTATACTCGGTTGATAAATGAAATTTTGATTTGCGAAGACATTTGTCATTGTTGTGCTTTCTTACGACTAATAGACCATTTTTAACCGCTGGTGGTCCGGTGCACACACAAAAATACTTCACACTATTTCAATAGATTTGGTGATAATGGAATTTGGGCCAATTTATTACAATAAATTTAGTTTTTTTGTCGTCTTATATTGAAAGAAGTGTCAAAATAGCCATGTATTTGCCATGGCTGGTTACCATTTAAAATGCAGTGTATAACATCCTGCTGTATATTTTAAAATCCTGACACAAGCAGTAGGTTCAGAGTTTATAACAGTGCACCCTCTGGAGCTAACAAAATGCAATAGTGTCGTATAAACCACTTTCCTGTAGTGAGACGAGGGTGCAAGCAAGATATCTGCCATTATCATGTCTTCAAACACAAATATGCCAGCCAGCTGATATATGGTGAAAGGCAATTTTAAATTGTCGCGTCGATTTGTATATCCACAAGAGCAATATAACTTGTACAAGTTGCACCCTATATCCGGTATGTGTGCTTATCAACTTTGAGGAAAGTGGTCTGTACAACAGTGCGCCCTCTATAGCCAGCACATAGCAATAATTCTCTCTTCTCTCTTTTGTCGTAGTATACATCATTGTTAAAACTGAGGTATAGTTCAATAGAAAAAAATAATTTTTACAACTTTATCCATAGCTATCCTCAGATACATTAACAAGTCTGTTATATAACTACAGAAACAGCGCAAAAAAAAAATGTAAAGACACTATCTATTTTTATATATATACTTGCAAATGCGTGATAGCCAAGGAATACGAAAAATGCTGCAACAAAAAATCAAAGAAGTAGCAGATTCCTGATGTTCTTGAGGAAAATTCATCTTCTGTTGTAACAACGTGTATGCAAATCAATACAATCCTGCATTCCTTGTCTTTGAACAATTTCAGTTTTTAACAGCAATCTTGTATGTTCCTTGTCTCCAGTGAAACCTACATAACGATGCGCCAGCTGACTACTACAATGGAATGCCTTGTATCGTCACAGTGGAGGTACCAAAGTCGAAGAGTATATTTGTCGGATGAAAAACAAAATACAAAAATATTATGTTTGGCAACCTCTTTGAAATCAAGAGAACAAAAACTCAAGTTCTTGGTGGCCTTGGAGCAGGAACAGGATGATGTGACGCACTGCGGTACCGCTGAGGTGAATACGTATGTGTTTTCGGCCTTGGTTGCGTCATTCCTTTAACATCTCGCCTTATAACTGGCATTTCCTGTGAAAAAGAAATTAACAATATTATTAGCAAAAAAACACTGGGGCATTGGATTTCTGGCACATTAATACTGACAATAAACAGTGACATTTAAATTTGAAATAATGTCTTACTTACAGAGACACGCAGAGGGTTAAGGATAGACACAGCTAAGAAGTAACAATATTTACGTTAGGAAAATGTTCATCATATAAAGGAAAGAAAAAAATAAAGAAAAGGTTTACCAAACTTGTTTCCATGGAAACAATGACATAGATTTAAGTGCCTTTCTCTGGCGGCCATTTTGAAATTATAATTAAAAAAGTTTTTTTTTTAGTACTTTCAAATAGCCAATTACAGGCGAGAATGAGAATAACTTAGCAAAGTTTTAAGAGATTCTTGTTTCGAGAGACTCTTTTAGCCATATCCATCCTTATTCATAGGCTGTTAGTAATATAAAATGCAACATTATTTGTCAACATGGAAAATTTTCTCAATGTACTCGTATGACTACATCCTACTTTAAATAACAGTTACAACAATACATCAACAGTAACAACTGAATCTACAATGTATGTCATACACATAGTAACATATCTGTCTTCCACAAAATAAATAGATAAAAAGTGAAATGAAAAAGATTACAGTACTTTAATAAAGAAAAGTAAAACAATCATGATATTTGTCTATAAATAATATAACCTTTAACTTAACATAAAATGGTTTCCTTGGAAAGGCACAGAATTCACAAGGAAGAACCACACTGGGTTAATTTAGTCGATGTTATATAAATCAACAAAACTCCTTAATTCTACATATAACAGTTAAATTTAACAAATGCAGCTACATTAGTGATTTCATAGCATAATAAATAAATGCAAAAGAAAGATGAAATTAGTATGGAATATATTAAATTTTTACCAGAATTTTCGTCCACCAAAATGTTAGTCAACATTCCAATTTTTTTCTAAATTTTGATACAACAAGGATCACTGAAGCGTTTATGTTATTGTTACTCTAGGAAATCATTCACGAGCAGTGACGCGCAGTGACAACAAAAGATAAAAACAGTATGAGCGCCACTGCACTGTTAAGTTTGTTGGTCGGTATGTTCAACGTTCACTTGTAGGAGTGCGCCATTATGTCAGAAAATCAACACCTGGGTGGCATCGTCAGTATCTAGTGAGGCGACACGTCAGAAATATAAACGTCCGAGCTGTTCTTATCTTTCGTTATTATCGAGTCCCTGCTGTAAGTGATTCCCCACTTGCTACATGCAAACAACATAAACGCTTTAGTGTCCCTTGTAAGTACAAAACATCTCATTATCTACAAGTGTTGACCAACATTGAGAAGATATAAGAAGTATATGCAAATTTATTTTAATGAATAGATAAAGAAGATGAATCTGACAAGCAGAGGTCAAAGTTGACCCAGATGACCGAGTAGAAGATGAAGCAACATTAGGAGAGGCTAAAAAAAATTTCAATTCATAAATAAAATTCACTCTGTGCAGCATATAAGTAAAACAAAAGGCCAAAATGCAAATATATTTCAAAATAAATAATTTGAAGGCAGACTTGAGTGGTCGACAGAGAAGGAGAGACGTTCCAGTCAGTCAGATACAAAGTAACACCAGACTCAGTATTCATCTATAACATTCTATTGTCCACACATTTGGAGATTGTGGGGCTGAGTTTTTATACCGAAACACAAGAATATTCAGTGGATTTCAAATATATACATGTATATACAAATTAATTTGCCAAAACGAAAACAACACTCAATGAAGATTTAGTACAGGAAATGCTTGTTTTTTCTCATTTTCTCTCTTTTTTAATTTTTTTTTATGACAACATGAAATTTAAGACTTACTGCTGATAAACTAACTTGTCACAATCTAAAGTTGAACTTCCACACATTTTATTCCAAATATGGCTACAACATAATGTATGCCAACACAAAATATTGAAACAAAAAAAATTATAGAAAAATCATATATAAATATTTGTCTGTGTATTACACAGATACTGTTTTCAAAATTAAATGTGAAGGAAGCCACCAAATAAGGACACTGGGACTAACATTTTCCAAATAAGGCAATCATAGGTTTCCATATATGGGCAGCAACAGGATGTTATAGATGAAAACACATTTAAAACAACACATAGTTACAACAACTGTCTGGCTGACTGAATTCTACCAACCTGTCCATTCATCAGAGCTCTGCCTGGTTCTTTAGCCAAAGACCCAAGCAACTTAGGCCTTGGATTGCGGGCACTTTGGCTTTTACCAACCTTTGGATTGGGCCCGTCTATAACTGCCCTCCCTAATGTTCTCCTTTGTTCTACAGGTTCATCTTCTTCTTCTCCCTCTTCCATGTACCCATTAATATTGGTCGATTCCATTTGTACCAACTCATTTTCCATCCCTTGTAATTTGTTACCTTTCTTGCCTCTTGGCATCGGTTGTGGTTGATTTGGCATGGGACGATGCTGTTGTTGTTGTTGTTGTTGTTGTGGCGCTGGTTGTTGTTGCAGAAATTGAGGCTCATCTCTTTCATCATCTCTTGGAGTCAACGGAGGAACTGGTGCCTGTGGACGCACTGGTTCCCAAGCTACTTCCCACGCCGGTCCCTTGTTAGAGATCCGGTGTGGGTTATCAGTTGGGGACTGGTGAAACGGTTGTGCGTTATGTGATCGGGGTGATACAGGCCCATTTGGTTGCTGACTAGGGGGTCCAATACCATGTCCTAAAAGTAGAATACAAGTTTTAATAGATATTGGAAAGAATCAGAATGGTAATAATGAAGATTTCAATAAAATTTGATGTTGAAAACAAACAAAAATGAAAATATAAATATCACTTTGATCTTTAACTGAAATTTGTCATCAAGTATGGAAGATATTATTCAGAAACTACTAAAGTTTTCACACTGATCTGAAAGCTACAGCAGGATTAAGTGTCAACAACTTAGACTACGTTATGGCATGACCAGGGACCAACTGTAGTCATAGCAACAGTTGCGACATATGACATAAGCAAAAACTATTGACGTTGTATGTGTAAACTTATATACTATACCTTGCACTGGTTCTAATGGAGCGGTTGGAGCACCTCTAGCTGTGAGTGGCCCGTCGCCGCTACTACCAATGCTGCTAGAACTATGATGCTTCTTTTTCTTTTTCTTCTTTTTTACAGGGAGTTGTTGTAATGGCGCCAGCTGTCTTGGAATGCTGTGTTGTAACGGCGAGGGTTGCATTTCCCCGTGACCATGAGGTGGCATGTGCTGCCCTGAGAAAGTTCCGCTTTGAAGTGGTCTTTCCGTCGTTTCCTGAGTCTGTGGCTGCTGTTGATTGTCGTAATACTGATACTCCTATGAAGAAACCACACGATGTAAGAGCCTTGAATATTGACCACAGCATCACATAGTATGTATATTGCATGTATGGTGTGAGTCAGCTGACATGCATATTACACTTGTTATAGCAATACTACAGTTGTGCTATGTTATTTACTATCAAATCTCATCTCTGAGGCAGTGCTTTTTAATTTTAATCAGGATAGCGTTGTGTTCAGGCAAACTATTCAATCATAAAATATTGTGGGTATTTTTCATGGCAAAGTCGCACAAGCAATAGCAAATAAATATCCATGATTCATTGCGATAGAACAGTGTAGCTGAACGTATCAACATCCGCAATAAGGTCAATTACAGTGGCAAGGCATCAACCACAGTTGATACAGAGATGAACAATACTGCAAGCTCGACCCACTGCATGACAAAAGTCCTCACGTACATGAAATGTTCAGAACATTTCCGGGGACCGGAACAACATTATAATCAGATAAAAGTGATGCTAAGACGAGACTTACCTGATGTGAAGGTGAATGTTGTGGTGGATTCTGGGAATAATGTGGGACAGGCGGTGGAGGAGCTGGTGTCACTATGTTAACAGGATTAGGACTGGAACCTGGAACCGGAGCAGGGGGTCTTGGGATAAAAATTCTTTGGGGCCCTGGAGGACGAGGAGTCATCTTCTGTTGAAATGGGGGTGACCTTTGACCTTGAGGCTGCAAGAAATAAATAAGAAATACAACACATAACTATTTAAAGTACTTCACATAACATATTCAAAATCATCTTTCATTTTTAATCTTTCTACTATTCGTTGGGTATAATATACATAACATATTTTCGCTATCAGTATTGTATGTAAAATAACAAAGGTTTATTTGTGGTCAAAGTTGTATTTTATTAATAATCTACTATACAATAACTGCAATTTTGGGCTTATGCACACTTACGGTATTTAACAAGTCTAATTCACACTCTTACTCCTATTACAGGCTGGTATGACAGTAGTTTCAGCCAAATTAAAAGTTGTCTCTACTGAGCATGTTATTGTACATATATGCAATGCATTGTGGGGGAGCACTTCATATATAATGAATGTCATACAATGCAGCTGAAGTTCACCCTGTTTACAGCTGCTGCTTCTCAACAGATGACAGGATATGGACATGCCAAACAGAGCTTCACACTGATGATGAATCTGACTACATAAGTACATTTGAAATTATGATCTATGTAACTGACCTGTAGTGGAATCGGTTCATGTTGCCTTTGGTCTTTTTCTTCCTCTCTACCGTCTCCTTCGATATCAGATACACTCATACCAACGCTAAGACTCTTGTCACTCACTTCACTACCAAAACTATTCACTCGCTCTTGATCTACATCTACGGTCTCTTCCGGGACATCAACCACGTCACCTGAGAAAATTATTAAATATGTAATTTGCTGAAAAAAATAAATTAAGAGGGCATATTTGGTTTATCAGTCAAGCCAACAAAGACACAGCATACCTTCATGATCAATAACATTGATATCAGGGTTTTCATGCGATGGTGTCAAGTCTTCAATATCCATACCATCGAGGGACTGCACAATTTCTGTCCGGTGTACGTCAAATACATTGTCATTTCTAGGACTTTCCTATTGAGATAAGATCAAACAAATCCTGTTTAGGTGAATACTGCACTGCATTGTATGTGCTCTATTTGAATGAATGAATGAATGAATGAATGTAACTAACGAACGAACAAATGAATGAATGAAAGAATGAATGAATGAAAGAATGAATGAATGAACGAACGAATGAATGAATAACCTTTTTGCTTATGTATGTACTTCTATTATAGATGCGCTCCTAATAATGCAAGTACATTACATCAAGGAAATTTAGCTTCATTTTGCGGTTTTATAATCAGGCATTCATGAGAGTGAAACTGGCACCAACTCACTGTCTGGTTAATCACAAATGAAATATTCGATGCTACAAATTCCCTGACTCACAAAATCAAAAAACGTTTCTCAACAGATGCAGATGTAGAAAAGCTGTAAGATGTGAACAGAGATACCAATTGTTATGTTCTAAGTTTGGATCACACTGTTTTAGACAAGTATGACAGAATAAGTAAAAAGAGATGGCACACAGAGGAAAAGGTAAAATATAAACAAATATTATATTCTAATATGCAAATATGTATTTGTATGAAGAGTTTTGGTAAAAATGAGCAACATCATACATACCTCTTCCTCCATCTCAGCGTCATGGTTATATTCCTCATGGTGGTTAGGTGTATTGTTCACCATTGGTTCATCACTTCGCATCCTATTTTGTACAACATGTGTTTCATCCTCTTCGTCTGCTTCGTAATCTTTCTGTTGGTGGACTTCGTTTCCCTCTTCATTTTCCTCTTCATCACTGTATTTCACTTTCTGTGCACTTGGACCCCTTTTAGCCTGACTCTGTAAAGCACCACCACTGCTTCTTCTCTTCTCATCACGTCTCCCACTTGGTGGTCTCGGGAGACCTGGTGGGGGTGATGGGGAACTACCCGAATAGGACGGCAAGGGAGTTCGTTCCTAAGAATATGATATTTAAAAGTTCTTTACAAGAGGTGCAACAAATTAAAATAATCATAATTAAAAACATAGACAAGAATGTCACCAGAGATAATAGTATCACACAAGCATTCGATTTTAACGTTGTACCTGTTCCATTTCATCATCCATGGCCATAGAACGCTTCATTTTTCTCTCATGTTGTCGTTGGTAAGCAGCAAAGACCAAGGCACAGTAGTGTAACCGTCTGGCTTGGGCATAGTCCATGGGTAATGCATTATGACAATCCCTCTCAAACTGATTAGCTGCAGATGGGACAAAAACACTAGATGTTAGTATAGCATACAATAAGCAGGAAGACAGAAATGCCACATGGTGTGTTTCCTCAAGACATTCTCAATTTTAAATGCTATATTCCCCAAATATGTAATAAAACCTTTGAGTTAAAACTTTATAGCAAAATGTATTTTTGAATTGTTTTATTTGTCAGGATTATGAATGTGTAATGGTTGTGACCATATTATATCCGATCACATCTGTTAATGATTACGATTAAATTTGTAGTATAGCTGATCACATTCAGGCCACACTTAGACAACCAAATGAACCGACACGACAGCGCAAACACTTTGACAAATCACATACAATGGATATTTTCTGGCATTTAGGACTGCTACCTTTCACTAGAATCAAATATTTAATAAGTTAATCATGAGGAAGGTGCGAGGTGTGCTTGCAGTGACGTAACTGCATCAACCTTAGCTATGTGACGATCGATACAATCACTTCACTACCCTTTGTGAATACTTTGCGATATTCTCATAATAATCTTACACTATTTAATGATTATAATCACTTATTAAATAATTATAATCACTTATTAAATAATTATAATCACTGTTGATTCTCATACCTCCATGTTCCATTAGAAAGTTTACTAATTCTCCATGCCCACCAACAGTTGCTATGTGTAGACACGTCCTTTCTTCGTCATCTTTGAGTTCTAAACATTGTTTTCCAGCGACTTCAATAATCAGCTTACATGCGTCCAGTGAACCGATGTCTGCCGCCGTATGAATGACATTTTTACCGTCATGGTCTTTAATTGTAGCTGTCTCTGGATTTAATAAACTCTACATACAAACAAACAGTTGAATTGGTTACACATATTACAACAAATGACTTGAACTATTGTTGAAAAAAACCATCATACTAATTACTATTTTGTGAAGTCTTATCCTATAAGAAATACCATACTCTTCAGTAGAAACCTTATATAAATCACAAATTTGTTATTGAAACATAAAAATGTGATTTATTTGATACATGTTTGTCATTTACATAATTGTATGCATTACTAATAGCACAAAAAAGTTATAACC